CTTTGGGAAAGAAAGGTGTCCTTATTAGAGAGGTGTCCTCATTTCAGGGTGTCCTTATTTTTTCCTCCAGAGAGCAAGAAGAAGACGCTAGTACACAAAATGTATTTGAAGGTTACCGTGACTACCGACGATCTTCTGTGGCTTCGAGAGCTTCAGGTATAATTACAACGGTCCTCTAACCAGTAGAAAACTAGTTCTGTTTTTTTCTCCAGCTTTTGAAGAAAAGTCTCCAAACACTATTCGGAGAATTGGCTCAGCTCCTAACGTGAGATATCACAAGGAGAGCGACGCCATTGCTGAGGTGGACGGGGAGCTTAACGAGGGGGCGGAGCAAGTGGAGAAGGTGTTGCTAAGAGACAATGCTAGGAAAAAATCGAGGATCAAGTCCTTGTTTGGCTATTCTAAATGACGCCCACTGTTGTTGTGTGTCTGTCGTCAATGGCAACGTTTGTAACTTATTTTCTGCACTCTTATTGTAGCTCATCGGTTTTGCACAACGTCGTCATGGATACGCGACGTCCGCAAGCCCTATACCATGTACACGCGTGTTGGGCGGGATTGAGAGACTGGAAGCGCATGCGGAATAGGGAATAGGAATTGGACAAAAGGGGTGTGGCTTGCTCATAAAACTGCGCTGCAGGCATCTAGCTTGTAGAAAAACTAGCCGAAGTATATGCTCAGAAATCGGATCTGAGGATATAATAACTTTTCTCTGTGATCGATGTCGTCGGAACAGCAAGCTGCGGCGTTTGCATTCTGGAAGGAGCGATCGACCAGGGAGACCGTTCCCGACACCTCATCCAAGAAACCCTCTCTTCCTCCGAAACCACGGAGTAGCGGACGGGTCCAGACGCCGCAGCAGGTAGCTGCCGTCTCCGAGAAGACCTTCCTTGGCCCGGCTTCCTCCTCGTCTCCCACTGTCATCGATCGCCCTGCAAAACCGCTGAAACCTCCTACGCCTGCAAAACCTTCTCCCTCTCCTCCTCCTCCCTCCATTAGATCTCCTACGCCTGCAAAGCCTTCTCCCTCTCCTCCTCCTCCCTCCATTAGATCTCCTTCGTCGCTACGCAGAACGCCCCCTCCCCCTCCTCCTCCTCCTCACAAAATCCCCGCACGGACCTCGGGCGAAAACGTGTCCTCAACTCAACATCCGACGCAGAAAGGTAGGATTGCATCGTAATAGAAACAAGTTTAGTCCAGATAGCTAATGCAAAAACTTTGCAGCAAGAAAGTTTGCTTCCTTTTCCCAGGATCTCTTTCCTCTAGAATAGTACAACTATTAGTGTATATGGTTTCAACTAAGATTGCAAGATCATGAGATGTAGTTCATGTGTACCCATTTCCTGAACCATTATAGTATACATGATTTGGGAGTGTAATAGCTATGCACTTTAGAATATTTATTCCTTTTGACCTTAATTCATAGGATCTTTCCTTACTGAAACTATAATACAGACCTTCCAAGGAAACTGACCATTGAATAATAATAAGGATATGAAAACCTTTCTTTTTGAATCATCATTGATTTATTTTCAGTGCCTCTCTTACCTCCTGGATCGTCATGGAAACCTGCGAAACCAGCAGCACGAAGCGAGTCCCTCAGGAGTAACTTGTCGGGTCCAAAGTCCGTTGCCAGAGCAACTGAAGAGCAGCGTACAACAGATCCTCGCCGTTACCATGACGATAAATCCACAAACAACGCAGCAGTCTCGGGAAGTGGGAAACAAGTTCTGAAAATCGTTCAAAGATTGAGTTTCGACGACCCCCGCACTCAATTTGGCCCCAGTTCAAGGGGTTCCGAAATTCACCGAACCCCTCATTCTGTACCTGCAATTTCTAAAGGAAAACAGTTTCTCTTGCCCTCTCAGAGGGGGGCTAATATTGGGGTTAACGAGGGGGACAGTAGCAGGGAAAGGCTTAACCGGAGTGTAGGGAAAGTGTCAGGAGCAGTGAAGGAAGAGTTAAGGAAGCGAAGAAGCAGTGGGCCGAAGGTTAAAACTGACTCTGTTGCTATGGAAGAGAGAGAAGAGGGAGAGAGAGAGAAAGAGGGAGAAGGAGGGAAAAGTCTACGAGAATCTCGATCTTTCAGTGGTTCTAGAAGATCAGCCAAAATAAAGAGTTCCTGGACCTGCTACCTTGACGGTCCTGCAGATAACACGGTGAGTGAATTGAGAGAAAGAGAGAGGGGGAGGGGGAGGGGGGAGGGGTCTGCCACCTTAGGTTTTCACTTCAAATGTCTCTTCTATTCCTAGTCTTATTGAGAAGTTCTAGAAACTCTCGTGCTCTCTTGCCCAAACGGGCGGTTGTAACTGATGAGTGAAAGGGGGAGTAAAGTAGTGTTTTGCGATGATACTACTATATTATACTACGGTCCCATGTACCACAATTGTATTGGTTATCATAATCTTCATCTCTGTATAATAATGTATGTATATACAGTGGAACCCCTCTCTAAGGACACCTCGAAATGAAGACACCGTATTGCACTGTTTATGATGTCTCCACAATTAATTTTAAGGCTTTAGAGGAAAACTGCTGTGATGGTACACTTAATCTTGTCTCTCTCTCTTATTCAGCCTGCCTCCCCCGCCCCCCTTTCCCCTCCCCTCTCCCCTTCCCTCTCCCCTCCCCTCTCCCCCCAGTCATCGCCAATCAAAGTACGTAAGCCCATTGCTACCAGTATAGAGTATACTGACTGCATCTCTCTTCTCTCTCTCCTCAGGTATCTGATCACCCTCCCCTCTCCCCCTCCCTACTTCAGTCATTCTCTGATTCATTCAGAACTTCCTCTACAAAGTCGGCACACAACTATCTCCGTGACAACGCTGCCGTTTCCACGGAGACCATCCAGTTCTGGGAGATGGTGGCCAGGTAAGTCAGCACTCTGTTCAGGACGACCTGAAATTCAGAGTGTCCTGAAAAATGGCACTTGAAACGATGATGTAAAATATAACACAACGGCATGGACTTAAGAGTACTGAAATTGTTACGTCATCTATATTGATGATGTAATGATGATGTAATCTGTCTCCCCCACCTGCAGTGTTAGGAAGGAGAGAGGTGATCGCTGTGGTTACCTGTGCTCCCTTCTACTCTCGTCCCGTCAACCCTCCCCCTCCTCACCTCCTCTCCTGCGCACCACCACCATATCACACACTGCCTCCGCCGCACGCAGCAACAGAGGGGATCATGTGATCTCCGTCGTTATGGTTACCACTCCGGGGGAAAACCCTGTCTCGTTCCAATGCAGCGGTATGCAGATTTATGTCTTCTAAGCGATATTTTATGTGCGTGTGATCGTTTTGTTTCTATAGCTCAGTTGACCATAAACGAGGTGACTAAAAAGGGTGTGGCCCAATTGAAGAAAGGTCAGAGGTCAACAGGGATTCGGTGGTTGAAAGTATGCGGAAGAGACGAGTATCTTGACCCGTAAGAGATGTGGAGATAATGTCGTTTACTGTACATGTGTGTTATATATACATGCTGCTACTCTCTTTATTTTTTCTTAATCTTCCCATTTTTCTCTCAATTTCTCTCCATTTCTCTCCATTTTGCTCCGTGCCCAGAGTGAAAAAGATGATTGATTTTGTCTATGTTCACAATTGCCTCAAGCTAGACACAGAGGTTAAAGTTCAAATCATCGATCAAAATCAGCTCCCAACATCACTAGCCTGCCAGGTATACAACACTTGCAGTTTTGAAAATTCAGTGGTGAGAGGGATAATTATTTCACTCCCACTAGCCGCAGTCGGTTCCCATTCCACCTGCCCCGCCCACCTGGGGTGATCAGTCCTCGTTCCATTCTGTATCGGCTCATGAACTAAACAACCTTCTGGACAGCTACGTTTCCAAGGCTGCAAAATTCAGACAAGTCGTCCTATCTCAAAAAGATTCAGTGAGTAATCTCTCTTCTCTCTCTCCCTCGTTTTCCTTTATTATAAGTCCTTATTATATTGAAAGTTACCCCTTCCGAGAATGAATGTTATTTGCTCTAAACTATCACAAGTTTGTTAACTGTGTTCTGGAGACAGTAAAACAAATTTTGGAGGCATGCAAAACTCGTCTAAACGTCTCTGTTTTCTAAAGAATTGCAGTGTTTGTGGACATGTGACGAATGTTTTTGTAGCACTGTTTTTGTTTTCGTACACAAACAGCCCCCTGTCTAGCTCTCCCTCACAAACAGCCCCCTGTCCTGTCTTACACTGTCTAGCTCTCCCTCACAAACAGCCCCCTGTCCTGTCTTACACTGTCTAGCTCTCCCTCACAAACAGCCCCCTGTCCTGTCTTACACTGTCTAGCTCTCCCTCACAAACAGCCCCCTGTCCTGTCTTACACTGTCTAGCTCTCCCTCACAAACAGCCCCCTGTCCTGTCTTACACTGTCTAGCTCTCCCTCACAAACAGCCCCCTGTCCTGTCTTACACTGTCTAGCTCTCCACCACACAGCACTGCCTGTCTTACACTGTCTAGCTCTCCCTCACAAACAGCCCCCTGTCTAGCTCTCCCTCACAAACAGCCCCCTGTCTAGCTCTCCCTCACAAACAGCCCCCTGTCCTGTCTACACTGTCTAGCTCTCCCTCACCAAACACGCCCACCCTGTCTAGCTCTCCCTCACAAACAGCCCCCTGTCCGTCTTACACGCTAGCTCTCCCTCACAAACAGCCCCCTGTCCTGTCTTACACTGTCTAGCTCTCCCACCCCCTCCCTCACTCCTGTCTTACACTCAAGCATTATGAATTTTGGCTTCAAACTTTCTTATTTTCCCACTTTCTTGTGCAATATTATCATATTATTTCCCCTAATCCCATGTCCCTCCTAAATAAGGGTGTCAACGTTTTTGCATTTGTCGTAGGCACAAGAGTGGAAATATAGATACAAACCAACTATTCTTTATACTTTGACTACAGTTGGAGTATGGAATGGTAACATCTTCTATCTCTGTCCCTCCTAAATAAGGGTGTCAACGTTTTTGCATTTGTCGTAGGCACAAGAGTGGAAATATAGATACAAACCAACTATTCTTTATACTTTGACTACAGTTGGAGTATGGAATGGTAACATCTTCCATCTCGCTGCACCTATCCCTATCTCGCCCAAATTCCCTAAATAAAGGTGTCAACGATTTCGCATTTGTCGTAGGCACAAGAGTGGAAATAGATACAAACCAACTATCGTTGACACCCTTATTTAGGGTGGACAGAGAAATTTGGACGAGATAGGGATAGGTGCAGCAAGATGGAAGATGTTACCATTCCATACTCCAACACTAGTCAAAGTATAAGAATAGTTGGTTTGTCTCTTTTCCACACTTGTGCCTACAACAAATGCGAAATCGTTGACACCTTTATTTAGGGAATTTGGGCGAGATAGGGATAGGTGCAGCA